CTCGCCGCCGTCCTCACAGCCAGGTAAGTCGACCTAAAATACGCAACTTCAGCTACGCTATTCACGTAGCTAAAGTTGCGTATCTTAGGTCGACCCCCCCCCGTAGTGTAGACCTAGCCTCAGAATCAAGTAACGTAGAAAATTAGGTCCATTACTGTGCTATTAGAACTAGCTACAGTTTAGCAGACATACAGATGAGCTACGAAAAGCTTTTGATAGCCTGCTGGACTCACTACTACTGCTGTAAAACTGATTTTGGTTTGTGTACCCTGACATGAATAAGCCTTTTGTAAAACAAGATAAAACTTTTTTAAACTAAAAATTATGCTAAATGTCCATCTCACATGAAGGACAGAACAGAGACGTCCCAATCTGTACATCATAATAGGGTTTGACTGGCTACCACTTTTTGCCACAGCTTAGTATGCAATTAAAATAGCTTATTGATGCCAACAAAAAGGTAAGAATAAATATTTCTTTAAGCATATTGCTATAGTACCCTTGGCAAACACTGTATTACATACAATCCCCAATAAACAGAGTGATTCAAGATATAGTGGGTCCAGTCAGTGCACTTGTTACATGAGGCCAGAAATCCGCAGGGCGTCTGAAAGGTACACATCAAACAGAGCTTTTTTATTGCAAATACAAAATTTGCAACTTATAACATCTGAAGAAAAAAATCTTTTAAATCATTAACATTTTTGTACAAGCCAATTAACAGAGAATTGGGAGGAGTCGTCTTATTATTACATTTTAACAAAACATACCACCTTGCTATTTTTACAATTAGTGTTAAGAATAAAGGGACAAATCGATTTTTTAAAAATCAACTGAAGCAATAAAACTTATTTTTTAGGAATTCATTTTCAAAGATTGAGAGTAGCAGTCAATTTAAAGCTATGACCCAACATTAGACTCTGGGTCTCAAAAAACAAAGTGTCTCTTCTCGTTGCTGAATATACAGATGGCCAATTAAGATTTATGGGATGTGAAAGTATTTAACAGTCTGAGAATGTGAGGCTTCACAACCCAGCTCCATTCTGCTTTAATAAGTGCATTTTGATTGCCAATTAAAAGTCTGTTGCAATAGTTAGCACCATTACACTGCCCCAGGCACATTTGTAAAGTTTACAACTAGTGTTCAAAAAGTCAGACTTAAAACCTAGCACAAGATTTGGACCATATGAAATATTTTATCTTAAAAAAAGATGGGGGTGGGGAAGAGAACGATGAATTTCAGATCAGTGAAAGGTGTTGGTTTGACAGCCCTAAAGACTGAAGACCTCTGTCAATCCTGGATCCTCTGTTTATCGACAGAACAGGTAGAGAGAGCACAGGCAGCAGTGCAGGCTTTCCTTACAGCACCTCGCCAATGGGCCTCAAGCTTGCCCCAGCAAGACCCACAGGAAGGGAGAAGATAATTCAGTCTCCAGGTGGGATCCAACCCTTGGCCTCTCTGCTCAGATTTCAGTTAGGTGGCCAATTATACCCAATCACGGTAGGCAGTTCTGTGATATCAACATTTGCTCACCAGGAACCGTATCATAGCCACAAGCCAGGCATCAGACTGTAAAGACTATTGGCCTTTCTTCCCATCCCCTTAAATATGCTCTTTACTATTAAAAAAAAAGTAGCATTGGACAAACTAATATTCCTGTATTTAAAACAAAATCTGAAACACAGAAACTTTTATCTGCTACAATTAGGCTTCTTTGAACTCAAGCTAGTGTTTTGGGGAGGAAGTCCAGGAGAAAAGGATTTCAAGTACCAGAACCTGTATGTTCCATACCAGGCTGATAGACCCACTAGGGTGCCAAACAATTTTTGGGAGAAGTCATGGAAATATAGAGCAGTGCAAAAAAACATCCAGACCCAGATCAGGGTGAGAAAGCTCAAGGCAACGAACAGGGCATTGACCACTGCATGTAATCGTGGGCTCCGATCGGTGTTCAGGACATGCAACACAGCCATCTCCTCCACAATCATCAGGGCACAGTAGGTTAGGAGGAAGGAGTGCCCTGAGATGTCGAAGCCGTGCCAGAAGCCACCACCCTGGCGGCACTGCCACTTGCTGAGGTGCTCCTGGAACAGCACATCAAGTGCTGGCGATTTGTAGCAGCTGCCAGTGAAATCCTCTATGTGCAAGAAGAGACTAGTGCAGACATACCAGGCCACGGTGCCCACCAGCAGGGTGCTGATACGCCGCAGCGTCCCCAGGACGTTTCGGCTGAGACGGTAGTTGGTGATGGCAATGAAGGGTAGCAGTAGCCAGAACGTCCAGGCCCAGGCCAATTTGACAAAATAGCTGCCAGGGAGAAGTCAAAGGAAACGTATAAGTATATTAACCTTCAAGTCAGCACGGAAGGGGTAGGGATTAGGGGTGTACATGGAAGAGGTTTCTAAATTACATCATTCACAGCTATTTACTTTGGTTATTTACACAGCACCCAACACCACAGCATCTAATCGAGAACCCTAGAGAACGGGGGTTCTTAAGCTTTCAAGTGACAGCCAAATAGACTGTCTTGTGGACACATCCCTCCCTCTTCATGACTGTCTGGACCAGCTCCCGTGCCCTCCAATCCACAATGGATTTACATCCCCAAGGCAACTACAACTGCTAACGTGAAAAAGTAATATCAATAACCTGGGGGCTAGAAGGGGAGGGGGGGGTGTTGCACACTCTGCTGCTCCTACAGGCTCCACTCATTTGCATACACCAGGGGCTCTTTGCATCCTTCCATTCTCCCGTACAAGTTCCCTGTGGGCCACCCTCCCAACTCCAGGGATTCTCTGCAACTTCCTCCCCATGCTCACGTTGGGGATTCTGTGTGCCTCCCACTCCTCACCTCCCCACCCCCCAGGGTTTGTGTGATCCTCCATTCCCCCCAAACCGAGAGCTCTGTTTACTGTCCCTTCCCTTCATCCCAGGGGCTGCCCATTATCATTATTTCACTTCTTTCTGTCTGGAGAAAAATCATGCGGGGTGTCAACACATTAAACTATTGATGAACAGGGATGAGACAAGGGGTATTGTTATGCTGGAAGGTATTAATTGTTGCCATCAACCAGTTCTTTGATCTACTGACAATTGCAGAGATACTTGAAAATATGGCAGGGGCTTCAAGTGTCCTCCATTTTTCCAACATTCAGAAGTTATTGCATTATATAACTAAACAGACAAATGCCATCAAACTGAATGTAAGACCTTGCAAGCTTAGCCAAATATTTAATGTGTTTTAGGAGCTAGAAGAAAGAAGGAGAGTCAGCACCATCTGATCTAATCGCTCTCAGATCCTGTCCCCAAGTCTCCCTGCCAATTTCTGGGGCTTTACAACTATGTTTTTCTATTTAAAAAATATGTCTCCCTGTTTCTGAGTGGAAGATCCAAACAGACAAAACTGATTTACTATACAGGAGAAAGACTAACAGAGCGACAATGACGGCACACAAAAGGCTGCCAGATGCACAATGTAAAAGGGAAAAACGCAGAACTATTTTCTCTCTCATCTCTGTCTTTTGCCGGAACCTCAGGGATCTCGGGAACACTCGCAGGTACAGCACAAGCAGGCTGATGCATGATTGTTAGGTTCACAGGTCCCTTTAATGCTGTTGCTCACAGACGGCCGGTGCTGGCTGGCTCCCTGCATAGGGCTCCCCTGCCCCTGTGTCCTACAAGCAACCAGGCCCAACAGGATGACAGTGTTATGCGTGTCCGGACTCTCTAGTATCCTTCTGCAGCCCTGCATGAAAGGAGGCACGTTTGCACTGCTAGTGGGCCAGCTTGTGCTCCATCACAACAGTGCCTGCTGGGGCCACTTGGATCAGGGCTCAACCAGCCCCCGCTGTCCCCCGAGCCATACACCACCCAGCAGGGTCACTCATACCCCCCAGCACTGTCCTCCAGGCCACCCTCCCCCACCTGTACACACCCCAGCAGGCACAGACCCCGCCCCCTCCCCGTAGCCCCGCCCCTCACATGTTGAGCAGGTTGCGCTTGCTGCTCATGTAGGAGTCGGGCAGCGGCCCCAGCGCCTTCAGGAGGGAGCCGCCCAGCATGAGGCCCAGCAGGCCCCAGGGCAGCCATAGCCGCATCGAGCTCCGCACCAGGGCGGTGCGCAGGGGCCGGGCGCAGCGATCCAGCGGCTCCATCGCGAGTACGCTCACTCCCAGCGCAGCGACAGCCGGACGAGATGATCACACTGCCCCGGCGGCGCCCGCCTGCCTCTCCCGGCCGCCGTACTGCGTCACCGCGCGTGCGTACGTGCGTCACGACGCCCCGCTCCCACTGGAGTCCAGGGTACAAGGGCGCCGGCGCCATCTAGCGGCCGCCGAGGGAGCTCAAGTCGCTTCTTACGGAGCCGCTTGTTTGCGAAAGGCGGAGTCGAGTATTTATCTCG